TTGGTTTGGTATTTATGATAAAAAATTTCCTCAAAGGTAATGATGAATGTAGGTATAAAAAATTGGTTTCATTCATTTTTTCATTCGTTTTTTTTTATAATCATCCGATCTTTCGTTCTTTGATGTGGATATTTTATGTATGTGGATCAATTATTTATTTATTCATTTGTTAGTTTCTGTTTCTGCGCTCAGTCACTCATTCGTTCATTTATTCGTTCATTAATAAATAAATAAATAAATTAATTAATTCACTAATTCATTCATTCACTTATTTATTTGTTAATCGTTTTAATAATTTTTTTAAAGAAGGAATTTTTAAAAATTAATTTAATTGGAATATTTTTAAATCGAAATTATAAATTTATAATAAACTCAAAAAAATTGATACAAAAATTGAAAGACACACACACACACACACACCACACACATACACACACACACATACACACTTTTTTTTATATAAAAACATACATACACGCATACACATAAATACACAAACATATATAAGCACACATACATACACAATTACATACCTACATACACACTTGCACACATACATACACACTTGCACACACATATGTACATGCATACACACATATACTCATATACAAACACATTCGCAGCATACAATAATAGTAAAAAATTTGTACAAACAAATAATTAAGATGTAAAGTCTGCGTTAAATTTTTTTATCTGCTTTCAAATTTTGACTGGTTTAACAATAAAATTATAAAATAAAAATACCAAAACCTAAATTGGTATAAATGAAGTAATAGGTATAAAAGTTATAAATGTTAATAATTTTTTTATTCATTAAAAAGTCAGAATCTGACAGACGCAGATGAATACGTGTATGTTGTGTTCTGACGGACGAACAGACGAAGATGAATAGGTGTGTGTATGTGTGTGTGTGTGTGTGTGTGTGTGTATTGTGTGTGTATGTTTCTTCGAAATTTTGTATTTTCGAATAAATGTTAAGTATAGTCTAAATAGTATAGCTGGTATGAACGGTACAAAGATTGTACAGGTGTCACAAAACTTTATTTAAGGCGATAATGATTGTATTAAAAATTTTATACGATGGCATCTATGAATTGATTTATCTTACACTTGTATTCATTCTGATCAACTGATGACCCGTGCCTACCTGCCTTCGTACACACGATCAAACTACGATACGGTAAGTTTGCCTGTACGCACATACATACAAGTGTACACTTTCATGTATGCATACGTATATACATACTCACACATACACACACATGCATAAACGGATACAAACGCATATAGAAACACTCAAAATTTCACACCAATATATTTATATATGCATATACAAACGCGCACGCACACAAATATACGCCACAAAATTTGCTACATGACATGTTTTATAATGAAGCAATTATAATCTAACTAATGCGTTGCAAGGCGTACGTACATGCACGTGTGCACATGCACATGCACCATTAAATACAAATGCACGCGCACACACACCACACACACACACACACACACAGAGGTATTTGTATACAACTCTGCTGTATCCGCTCTACGGGCCACAAGTTGTGGTTCTGTCTAATGAGACCCAGAGACTAGACAAGCCATCTCCAAGATTGGGTGGATGGAAGTGTTGGTGGGTGTTTTATGAGTAGAATTTACCCCTGACGTGCTGGGATTGTGCATTCATTGTGCAATAGGGCTTTCCCTGGAATGCCAAGGTAGAATGTTCCTGATATATATCCGGACTGGTTGGTTGTAGTCACATCCGACAGGGCTTTTGAATGCTCTTGATGGTGCACGTGTAATTTAATGTATACTACTTTTGTATGTGCGGTTCTGTGTGCGTGCGTGTGTGTGTGTGTCTGTGAGTGTTTGTGTGCAATTGTAATTAACTATATAATGATGAGGACGATAAGAACGATGATGCCGATGATGATGATGATGATGGTGTTGAGAAAGATGTCGATGATGCTATTTAATTTACAATAATCTACAAATTCCCTTTAGAAGATGGCGACAATGAAATGATGACGACGATGATGATGAATATGATTGTGATGATGATGATGACGACGATGATGGTGTTGGTGATGGTGGTGATGATGATGATGATTAGAAGCAGCAGTGTTGATGATGATGATGATTAGAAGCAGCGGTGTTGATGATGATGATGGAGTTGGTGAGGTTGATGTTGAAGGAGATGATGGAGGAAGATAATTAGGATGGTTCCAATATACACTCAATTATTTCGCTTTTCATCAATGCCATTGCTCAGTAATGATGCAAGCATACANGTTGTTACCACAATAACAACAACAACTACTACAACCAAAACAACAACTACAACCACAACAACAGCCACAACAACCACAAAAACAACAACAACAACAACAACGAAAACAACAACCACAACAACAACAACAATCGCAACAACAACAACTACCAGAACTACAACAACCACCACAACAATCACAACAACCACAACATCAACAACAATCACAACAACAACAACAACGTTAGCGTCAATAACCTTGGCAGTAATCATAAGAAGAAGAATAATAGTAAAATAATAATAATAATAATTATTATTATTATGCATGTAGTTTGAACAACCAACACATAAATAAATAGAGCATAAATTAAGCAAGAAATAACAGGAAAATTCGTCACAAAAATTTTGGAAAGTTTCCTAAAAATATTTATATTAGATAATTTGGCCCAAATGTTTCGGCAAGAATTTTGCATAATTAAAACTTTGTCTGCATATAATCCATTAATCCTCATCATCTTCATCATTATTTTCATCATTTTCTTTATCATCTTCCTCCTCCTCATCATCATCAACAACTTCAACATTATTACCATCATCATCAACGCCATCACCATTATCGTCTTCATCGTTATCTGCTTTTTTATCATTGCCACATCAGCACATGTTTTTATATAAGCATATCAAGTGTGTGTATGTGTGTATGTGTATGTATATGTGTATGAAGCATGTTTGTATATGTGTATAAGTATATGTGTGTGCTAAGTTTGTTTAAATGTTGGTATTTATGTATTTGCTCACATTTTTGTGTTGCAAAAATTTGTGCGTGTGAGCATGTATGTGTGGTGTGTATGTGTGTGTGTGTGTGTGTAGAATTGTTGTTGTGTGCGCTGCACAACTGCATATTTTTAGTAAACACAAAATACATGGGCGTTACGACACGCTATTCATTTGGGTTTGATAATCTTAGATTCATTGGTAATCGAAACCGGCCATTAAGTCATTGAAATACGACTACATAGCGCTCTAACCGTTCAGCTATCCAACTTTTCTTCTTTTAATTAAATCATCGAGTTTGTATACTTGTGAGTTTAACTTTCGCGTTGATTGATTTATGATGGCAGAGGTTGTCACTTATCAACATCCTCACCTCATCATCATCGTCGTCGTTATCTTCATCAGCCTCTCATCATCATTGCCACCATTCATCATCATCGTCATCATTATCAACATCATTATCGTCAACAACATCATCATCGCCGTCGTCATCATCGTTATCACCACTCTGCAATTAATTAATCGAAAGAATGTTAAAGGTAGTTTATTGTTTTTTGGTGGCATTAAAAATATTGAGGATGGTGATGATGACGATTGTTGTTGCTATCGTGATGCTTTTGTGATGATGATGATGACGATGATGATTATGACGATAATGATGATATTAGGTTAGAACGAAGATGTTGTTGTTGTTGTTGTTTACAGTACGGAAATTAATGATTGATTTGTTGTTGTTGTTGTTTGCTTTTTTTTGATGATGTCATTGTTTATTGTTCATTGTTGTTGTCATTGCTTTTGTTTATTGCTTTTCAACGGAGCCAGGCGACAAAATTTGGATGTTGTTGTTTCAATTTAGACGGAGAAATCTTTCGGTGCCCTCTTTGTTTATAGACCGTTGAAAGTCTTCCATCGGCACTTCTACAATTAAAACGTGGCCTTGCTTGTCTCGCTTGCCACTGTTGATGTTGTTGTTGTTGCGTTAATGTTGTTATTGTTGCGTTAATGTTGTTGTTGCGTTAATGTTTTTGTTGTTGTTACTTTATTGTATTGCTACGTTGTTACCACTGTTGCTATCACTGTTCATGTTTTGTTGTTATTGCGTTAATGTTGTTGTTGTTGCGTTAAGGTTGTTGTTGTTGCGTTATTATGTTGCTGTTATTGTTGTTATTACGTTAGTGGTGATGTTGTTGATATTTACGTTGTTAATATTACGTCATTGCGTCTTATTATGATGATGTTGATGATGATAATGATGATTATGGGGATGATGATGGTGATGATGAAAACAATGATGATGATGATGGTGATGATAACTGTTAAGACAATTTTATTATCGACGACATAGATGGAATCATTTATAACATCGTACGTTCACATGTTATTGTTGTTGTTGTTATTGCTGTTGTTTGTTGTTGTTGTTGTTGCTGCTGCTGCTGCTGTTGTTGTTGTTGACGGTGGGTTTGATGATTTACGCCAAATATGTTAGTTGCTTATGTCAATATTGAATTATTGTCAATGAAATGTTGTTGTTAAGTCGAAACAACGACAGTCTGTTGTACTCTTGTCGAGTTCTGTTGTGTTGTTGTTAATGTATTATTTTTGTTGTTGTTTTGGTTGTTGTTGATGTAGCATTGTTGCTGTTGTTTTTGATATAACATTTTGTTGTTGTTGCCATTGTTGTTGTTTTTTTGTTGCTGTTGATTTAACATTTTATTGTTATTTGTTGTTGTTTTTTGTTGCTTTCGTTGGTTTTGTTATTGTTGATGTAACATTGTTGTTGTGTTTTTTTGTTGTTGATGTAACATTGTTGTTGATGTAATATTGCTGTTGTTGTATTATTTTCATTGTTGTTGTTATTGCGATTAAATTATCTTATGTTATGCAATGCGTGTTTTGTATGTAATATCGTGTCGTTGGTGTTGTTGAATGTGTTGCAGCAGTTTAGCTATTAAATAAAACAGTTTTTTGGGGGGTTTTCTTTTTCTGTTAATTAAACCACAGGCAAGCTATGAAATAGTTTAAAATGAAAATGATGATTTAAAAAAATTATCTTGAGAAGTTATTAAGTTATAAAGATGAAGTTGTTAGTTCGTTGCTGCTTTTACTGATACGGAAATAATTTATTGTTATTTGTTTCACTGCTCTGGTGCAAATTATTTGTTGCTGTTATTCGTTAATACCATTGTTGTATGTTTTGTTAGCAGTGTTTGTTCTATGTTATCATACGTGCTATCGCGTTCTAGTCGAGTTGTCGTTATCGGTGTGTTGACTTTACTAATCCCATGTATTGAGTGTATGTGTAGGTATGTATGTATGTATGCGTGTGTGTGTGTGTGTGTATGTATGTTTCTTTGTATGCGTGTGTGTGTGTGCGTGTGTGTGTACGCAAGTCATGTATGTTTCTTTGTTTGTCTGTATGTGTGTGTACGTATGTAAGTATGGGTGTTAATGCTTGTTTGAGTGTGTGTGTGTGTGTGTGTGTGTGTGTGTGTGTGTGCGTGTGTGTGTGTACGCAAGTCGTGTCGTTCTTTGTTGGTCTTCGTTGATTTAAAGGAATTCCTTCACTTTTGAACGCTGTCTGACCTCCAACTGTTTCATTGTAACTCTACTGCCATTATTATTATTATTATTATTATTATTATTATTATTAATATTATTATTTTATTATTATTATTATTATTATTAATATTATTATTTTATTATTATTATTATTGTTGTTGTTGTTGTTGTTGTTGTTGTTGTTGTTGTTGTTGTTACTGTTCATAACTTCTTTCGTTACTGCCGGAATAATTACTAATGTTTTATTGCTGTCCTTATTTTTATTATTGTCATTGTCATTATAATTGTTATTATTATTATTATTGTTAATATTATTATTATTTACGTTACTACAGCGAATAATTTAATGAGTATCATTCATTCAGTGGTGGCATTGTGAAGCAGAAAATTGAAAATTTTTTTTATCTAACCTAAGTATAATAATAATAACAAAAGTAGCTTTTTAATTCCCTTAGTATTTTCATTATTATTGAAACAAAAAAAATTAATTACTAATGTTTTGTTACTGCTAAAGCAAAATACTGAACTAACTAGTTGTTATTAATTTTATTATTGTTATCGTCATTATTATTATTGTTATTATTATTATTGTTATTATTATTACAACTATAATTATTTATGTTACTACAGTACAATAATAAAAACAAGAACAACTTTTTAGTTCAGTAATTTGCGTTAGCAGTAACAAAACATTAGTAATTATTTCTTGTTTTAATGATAACGAAAATACTAAGAGAATTAAAAAGCTACTACTGCTACTACTACTACTGCTGCTACTGCTACTACTACTACTACTACTACTACTACTACTACTACTACTACTACTACTACTACTACTACTACTACTACTACTACTGCTACTACTACAGCTACTACTACAGCTACTACTACTACTACTACTACTACTACTACTACTACTACTACTACTACTACTACTACTAACTCCTATGAGACCATAAATTAAATGATGAAGAAGATGATGATGATGATGATGAAGATTATGATGATGGGGATAATGATGATAATAATGATGATGATAATGAACTGTGGTATTCATAGCTAGGAATTTATTGACGTTAAATTGATGGCGCGTTCTTTTGATGAAGGCATTATTACATCAAAGTCTGACGACGACGATGACGACGATGATGATGACACAAAATATGATGATAAATTGATAGTAGTAGTATTTGAATGATGAAGTCGCTACAAATTGATGATGATGTTGATAACGATAAGAATGGAAATAATGATTAAATTAATATTCATGATAGCGGTGATGATGATATGATGACCGGGGTGGTAGATAGCCTAGTCCGGTTTCGTAGACAACAGGCAACCGCCTGATGGCAACACTTGCCTAACGCCTAGACTCGAAAATATCAACCTGCGCGCGATGATAACACTGATTATAAAATGATGATATGGTGATGATAAATGTAACGGGATAAATTATGATGATATGACGCTTGAACTTTCATCCAGAAATGCCAACAACAACGACAAAAATGAAGAAGACGATGATGGCGATGATGACGACGACGATGATGGTACTGGTTGCCAATTGTTACGCTTCGTATCAACATATACTTTATAGTCTACAAGGTTTATTCGTTGATGTAATTTATGTTCTTGATACATCTGTTGTTATTGTTGTTGTTGTTGTTTGTGACTGTTGTTGTAATTGTTGTCACAAATATCTAGTTGAATTATTTTAAAATTGTTGGCTTGTAATTGTTAATTTAAATAGTGTTGTAACATTGGCATAATATTAGTGTTTTAATTTACAAAACGAAACACCGAATAATAATAATATTAACCAAAACAACAACATTATCAACAACAACTACAGCATCATCAACAACAACAACAATATCACAACGACATAAATAAAATAAAGATATAAATATATAAATGCACGTGGCGTAACGGTAAAGTGCCCGGCACCTGGCACAGCTTTTGCAATGACCGGATTCGAGTGCACATGCAATGTGTCTGATATTGAAGAGTAAATTGTAATAAATAAACACACACACACACACACATACATACATACGCATATACATACATACATACACTAATACATATGTACACATACCAACTCTGATCAAACATTATAATAAATTAGAGTTATACAATCAATTCTGACTTTGGCTTTTTGCACGTGGTGCATGATGCGTGTGTGTGCGTGTGTTTATGTATGTATGTGTATGTGTGTGTGTTTTTGTGTGTGCATGTCTGTAAAAAAGTATTTTATTTTCAAATATGTCACCTTGTGCCACACACAGTGTGAATGTGTGTGCGTTCGTGTATATATACGTATGTTTGTAGGCCCGCATGTGTTAATAATAATTCATTCATATACAAACTCTTGAAAGTTAACACTGCTGGAGAATGAATGGATTACATTACATAAGTGGATGTAAGATTACGTAACTGGCCAGCATGTGTTGACGTCTGGAGTGGAGGGGGGAGGGGGGCAAGTCTCCGATGTCCCTTTCATCATCAATTTAATTGGTAGGTGTATGCAGTGCTTGGCTCCATTAGTCCGTCTTTCCGACCAGTCAATTTGGCACTAGGCGGCATATTTAAAATTGAAATATACTCATTTGCAGATGTATGTGTGTATGTATGTATGTATGTGTGTATGTATGCATGTATGTGTGTATTGTATGTGTATTGTATGTATGTAAG